AATACTGCATGAAACTCCGAGGGGTATTATATATTCATTAATGTATACTTAATAGCTCCGTTATAATATAATTTTAAAAATCATGGGGTTAGTTGAATCCGCTAACTTGGTTTTAAACTTACGGTATCCTCAGGTGACTTTTATCAAATGACCTCTTAACGCTTTAATAATAATAAAAAAAAACTAATAAATCCTATCCTAAATCCTTGTTTTCAATAATAAAACAATGAAAACGATAATATACCGTTCATTAGTTTTTAAATAAAATAAAGCGTTGGGAGGCCATTTGATAAAAATCGCCCGTGGATACCATATTTATTTACTGATTTTTAAAGTTAAAAGCTCTACATGTTACTTTTACTTTTATTTTATTTTTCAGACATGTATTGAACACTTTTTAATACCAGTGTTTCCTGGTCTACATACACACACACACACACACACACACACACACACACATATATATATATATATATATATATATATATATATATATATATATATATATATATATATATATATATAAATTAACTGATTTAAAATATGGTTTTCGCTACACAGTAATAACCATGTTTCAAAAATGGAAGCTAAAAACTTCAAATTTAATTGTATAATTAAATTAAAAGCATTAGTTCCGTTTCATATTCAAGCAAATATTGGAATAAAAAAAAACAAAAAAAACAGACAACATGCATTTAACAGATGTCAGAATTCGTTGAAAAATACACCCTTACCGTCCTTAAACTTAACTTCTTTTTCGAACTCATAATTGATACAACAATAGTTAATAAAAATGAACACGCTACCGCCCCTGTCTGAATGATTGTATTTCTCTGTATCCTTGGAAACAGGAAATTATGAATTTATATGTGCATTTAAAACTCAGTAAATTTAAAAATAAGTTATTCCAATATTCGCTTGAAGATGAAACGGGAGTTCATGTAACCAAATAATTCTAATTTAGTTTCATCTGAGCATAAAACAGAATTCTAATATTTACTGCGATGTTCTAGATGGCTTCTAAAATAAGCTAATCTGCATTTTAAGTGTTTAGCCTGAAACAAGGGAGTTTTTTCTTGGACGACAATGTAGAAGTCCTGCTCGATGAAAGAATCTTCGTCGATACATTCAACCCTAATATCATTACATCATTGACAATGTCCTTTGTCATTAAGTGCGGATTCTTCGAGATATCTCTAACAATTTTCCTGTCAATTCTCTTAGAAATTAACCGTTTTCTGCAAGTCTTTAATTTATTCTCAACATAATGAGTCCCGTTGTACTTCTTGATATTGCTAGGAATTTTCAATCTAGGAACATTTAAACATTTGGAAAGTGTTGTATATCCATCACCTTGTCTATACGCATCAACTATCTTCATTCAGAGTTTTTGTCAAGTTCATCCGTTTTTGTCATGGTTGCAGAACGAATGAGTTTTCACGGTACCTGGCACTCACATATTGTGTTCTTCACTACTCTTTAGAATGTTATAAAACCAGGTCAGTACTATATCATTTTCAAATGGTGTTTTTATTAAATGTTAAATTAGGATTAAAAAAACAAAACATTAAAATTGCCATAGAGCAATATTATTTAATAATTTCCATCGAAAGGAGGGGGTGGGCGAATAATTTTGGACTGCAAATAATTTCTAAAAAATTCAAGAATTATTCAAAACTAAATACGGTATCAAATATACATGGTAAATGCAAATATTCGCATTTTCGTAGGAAATATGCAAATATTCAGTGAGCGCGATTAATCCTGTCCACAACTCTGTGTATATATATATATATATATATATATATATATATATATATATATATATATATATATATATATATATATATATATATTAAATGGAAAAAGTCAAACAATTATTTTAAGACATTTTTTTATGTGTATACGTTCTTTTTTTTTTTTTTTTTTACATATAGACACCAATATTTAAGTAAATGCTCTGTCGGAGGACGTATATTTTCTATGAAAATTTCTTGGACATTTCTGGCCGGTAAATGTCGTTAATACTGTTTATTATAAACAGAGCTTTTATTTAAATATTTGTATCTAGAAAAAAAAAAAAGAACGTGTAAACATAAAAAAAATGTCTTAATATATATAGCATTGTTTTGGGGTTGCAGTTTTATTCCTGCTAAACTAGTTACCTCCAGCAAATAGAGAAAGATATATCAATCATGATTTAACAATGACAAACCAGTATTTAACTACAAGACATCTAAGTACGTAATTTAGACGACAATTTATCCATCACACCCTGTGAGTACATATATATATATATATATATATATATATATATATATATATATATATATATATATATATATTAAATCTGTTTACAGACAATGTTTACCTTTTCCGGGAAACGTTTATATTTTTATAGTTTAGCGCTTGATAAGATCTAAAATATTACATAACGTTAATCTTTTCCGCTACCACGGCTTCTACCAATGAAGGCTTCCTCAGGCATTGAAAAAAAACTAGGAAGCCTTTTTTAGAAACCGCGGTAGCGGAAATGCTTAGTGTTTGTAATATTATATATATATATATATATATATATATATAATTATCCACAGAGTGACTGTTTCGCTGTATCAGAGCTCATCAATGTACTAAATATACGATTGCTTCAAGCCGGGATCGAAACCCGACCAATTTGATATAGTCCCTCCCTCTCTCTCTCCCTCTCTCTCTCCCTCTCTCTCTCTCTCTGTATATATATATATATATATATATATATGAAGAAATATAGTTTTAACAAGTGCTATATTTATGGGATAAAGTTCTCAATATCAGAGATAGAGCGTATGTAAATATAAATATAAAAGTGAACATTGAAGTCAGCACTCAGCGGCGACAGGCTGTTTCATAGGAAAACACTCAATCGTCAGGTTGACCTCAATGTTGAGTTTATGTTTATATATATATATATATATATATATATATATATAATAGCTGGCCACTCGTATTCGAGGATGCACTATTGCAAACTCTTGCTCAGGCACATTTTTGTTTGTTCAACACCCACAGAGCCAACCTGTGATTTATACTGCAACTGTGCTGAGCAGACCTTAGTTACAGTTTCTGGAAGAGTGCGTGTTGTCTAGAATGATCAACAATCTGTGCAACACGGTTAAGATGACTTCTGACTTCGTGCTAATACAGCTATCGACGGTCCCAATTTCCAAGGGTTGAGTCAACCCGTGGTATATTTTTCAGGCACTTTCCAAAGGTGCCGCACGTTGGCATCGTCCTACCCCCTCTCTTTCTCTCTCTCTCTCTTTTTCTCTCTCTCTCTCTCTCTCTCTCTCTAGATAGATAGATAGATAGATAGATAGATAGAGAGAGAGAGAGAGAGAGAGTGATCTTCAGAGGAAGCAACTAAATCCTGTGAAAAGGCTCCTGCTTCTTACGCGGAGGATATTAACACAGAAGCCAAAGACATTTCCACGTTTGGCATTAGCAATAAAATCAGGATATTGGCCGAAAAGCGAGCCTTCTTGACAGTAAAATACCATAAAGAAGACTTCCTCAGCAGCCCATCATTCCATTTAATAAACCCGACAAAGACGATGCTAGGTATTATAAACCATAAAATTGTAATGGTTGCCTGCAAACTACTCAAGGTGTCTATGCAAGTCAACCAATGGAAGAGCACTTCAGACTGCATTTCCTGGTTTAACAACATTACAAACAAGCGAAATAAAGTGTTTATCAAATATCATATTAAGGATTTCTATCCATCTATATCAGGAAAAAAGTTTATTGGAGGCTTTGATGTTTCCCAAGGATTTCGTATATTTAATGCCCGAACAGATTAAAGTCATCATGCATTGCCGTAAATCAGTTTTATCTCATGGTGGTGAAGCATGGATTAAGAAATCCAAAGCTGGTAATTTTGATGTCCCCCAAAGATCATTCGACGGGGCAGAGGTGTCGGAACTGATGGGTATCTACATTCTAAGCAAAATAAATAAAATTGCCCACATAGACGACCACGGAATATACTGGGTTGGTGGACTTGATTGAGGTACCGGATAATAAAAGAAATATCGATTCCATCAGGGAAAGCTACACAAGATGTCTAAACATCTGCATTTCAACATCCCGGTGGAGTAATGGATAGCGGCTCGGATTGAGGAATCGGAGAGCCGAGTTCGAATTCCAGCCGAATCCATTACATTCACTTACGTGCTAATACCTTTGGGAACGGTATGAATCCTTTTCTTCTCCTCCAAGCTCTGGGTAAATAGCAGAACAGACCGGGTTCTGTAGTATTGGATGGCAACTGGTCTACCGTAGAAAGAAATGGCAACCTACTGCGGGAAAAATCTGCCTCGTCAGTCATGTATTAAAAGATACATGATCGCCTAAGCGTGTACCATGCATGGCGCATCACTAAGTCAAGTTTTTGGACATAGAACTAAACCTGTTGACTGAAACCATCTCCCCTTTCATAAAACCCATTACGTCAAGTATGATTAGACATATCCCGTCAGGCGTACAATGCAGATTGTCAAAAAAATTCTTCAAATGAATAAATATTCAATGAAAAAAGAAAATATATATAAATATATATTAAAGAGGAGGAGCATAATGCATTATGAAGGTTCAAATACTAATATTCTATGGTTATAATTTATTACATTGGAATCGTAATGATGATCCAATTCATCAGACATACAGATTTGTAGGTCTGATGAATTGGATCCAGTGGAATAAATTATAACCATGGAATATGTGTGTGTGTGTCTGCGTGCATTTACGACTGAATAGTAACTTCGAACATCAGTAGGTACTCTATACTTTCGACCTTGTGTCACATCTGAGCTACGCTTAGAAAACCACCATACATATGTGTATGTGTGTGTGTGTGCGCTCGCGCGCCTGTGTGTGTGTACAAAACAAATATCAACAAAGGTAGCCTGCGGTTGAGAAGAAAACTTAAAACAACGCAGTTCATCTGCTCCTGACCAGTCTCGATGAGAGCTCTATTGTTTTCAGTTGAGGTTGCACTTGAGTTTCAGCTAAAGCCGCCACCAGTTCGGTTCAAGCGAGAGTCTCGAAGGAACACAGTCCTTCAGGAAAAGAATCACGCGAGAAAGCCTGCAAATGGGTATGTTCACACGCGAATAATTGAAAACACTCCCCGGCTGCTCGAAGCGATCTAGGAGGCATCGACGTAAATCTTGGAAAAAAGGAGTAATTGTTGGGATGTGTTACTGTCGGCGAAATTTCCGTCTCAGAGAAAACGCCTTTGTTATGTTTTTTGTTTGTTTGTTTGTTTGTTTGTTTGTTTGTTTGTTTGTTTGTTTTTAGAGAAGAGTGTGCTTTTCGAGAATAAGATATTTTGTAGCAATTGTGTCGGCTTGCAGACGCTTACAGCGATACTTTGCTACGGTTAGAAAATTCTCATTATGTCTTCTCGCTTTTACTCACTTTCTTTCTTTTTTTCTTTCTTTCTTTTTTCTTTTAGTTCTTTCTCTTTTTTTCTTTCTTTCATTTTTTCTTTCTTTCTTTATTCTTTCTTTCTTTTAGTTCATTTTCTCTTTTTTCTCTCTTTCATTTTTTCTTTCTTTCTTTTTTCTTTCTTTCTTTTAGTTCTTTCTCTCTTTTTTCTTTCTCTCTTTTTTCTTTCTCTCTTTTTTCTTTCTCTCTTTTTTCTTTCTTTCTTTTTTCTTTCTTTCTTTTAGTTCTTTCTCTCTTTTTTCTTTCTTTCATTTTTTCTTTCTTTCTTTTAGTTCTTTTTCTCTTTTTCTTTCTTTCTTTTTTCTTTCTTTCTTTTAGTTATTTCTCTTTTTTCTTTCTTTCATTTTTTCTTTCTTTCTTTTTTCTTTCTTTTAGTTCATTTTCTCTTTTTTCTTTCTTTCATTTTTCTTTCTTTCTTTTTTTCTTTCTTTCTTTTAGTTCTTTCTCTCTTTTTTCTTTCTTTCATTTTTCTTTCTTTCTTTTACTTCTTGCTTTCTTTTTTCTTTCTTTTATTTTTTCTTCTTTTACTTCTTTCTTACTTTCTTACTTTTTTCTTTCTTTCTTTATTGCTTTCTTTTAGTTCTTTCTGTTTCTTTTTCTTTCTTTCTTTATTCCTTTCTTTTAGTTTTTTCTTTTTCTTTCATTCTTTATTCTTTTCTTTTACTTGCTTTCTTTCTTCTTTTTCTTCGTTTCTCGTATTTCTTTCCACCCATTTTTTAATTATATTAATTCTTTCTTTTTTTTTAAATTAAACTTTTTTTTTGTTATGTTGAGTCATAAATAATTTCGGTTTTGGGAAACCAGCTTTAAATTTTATTATCACATGTATAATAACAACGACATTCTATTCACATAGGCACATACACACACGTACAGGTGTATCCGCACATACGTACACAGGCACACATAAACACACAGATATATAAAAACAAGAACAATCAGCTCAACAACAATAAAAAACGATTTTTTTAAAACTTAATATAAAAATATGGACTTACTCAAAAAATGCGATACCTTAGATTTAAAAGGAATTTTTAGAAATGAAAAATCTTTCTTGAAGCTTTTATTTTAGTTTCAATTTCAAGATAATAGATTAAATTCGATATTTTCAATAATCAAAATACTTTGCTGTATTTAAAAACAAATTTAAATTGACAGGATAGAGTTAGTATTTTTTAATTGCAAAAAATCGTTGATTTTTGTCATTTTCATCCATCTGTCAACACAATGTAATTATTTTTATTAAAAGAAAGTTTATCGAGTTTTTTCTACGGTGGACATATCTGTAAAAATTACTTGAGCAATATAACGGGATAGTCTTTTTTATATACTTTTAAATTACCTAATAATTTTAAAATTTGGGTAAATATATATAAAGTTTTGTTTTTTCTTCTTTTTTTCTGAAATAACTGATGTCCTTTTTTAGCCGTCTTTCATCGTAATATATTTCGCTTTATTAAAAAAATCTTTCAAAAATAAAATATACTTTCCTGAAAAATTATTTGAAAAATATTAGCTAATTTAAGGTTAATTAATCTGATTTGAAAGAAATATTATTTACTTTAACTTTAAAATATCGCAGAAATTCATTTTTTTAACTCGACGGCCATAACTGGGTTTTCCTGTCAGTGTGACATGGTGCAGAGTCCTGTTGCCAGACAGGGTCTACCAACCGTCACTATCTTGACCCAGAACAGCACTACTTCCTAAAGACACATGATGTAGGCTCACCAACAAATCCGGGAGTTATTTTCTTATCAGAACGATCAAATTGAGTTTCCCGAGCTGCCGTATCTTCGTAATCACAATTAGACTCATCCAACTCTTTATTTGAGGAATATTAGCTGATTTCAAGTATAATTAATCTGATTTGAAAGAAATATCATTTACTTTAACTTTAAAATATCGCAGAAATGCATTTTTTAACTCGACAGTAGACGTTTTGATGCGTTGACAGCCTGATAACAGATTTAATTTTGATCTACGAAGTGTTTATGTGTAAAACATAATTTTAAAAAATGACGTGAGCGCCTTTTTTATATAATCTTTAAGTACTGAATAATCTTTAAAAATTAGGAAAATATTCCCTGTACTCGAATGTTCTATTGATTTTTCGAAATGTTGGCATTAAATTTACTATAGTTTTTGCTCTTAATTTCTGATAATGTCGTGTATGGTCGTCCGTACTTAGAAAAGTCAGCACGTTTATACACATGTCAAAATTCTTTTAAAATATTGGTGTTTGATGATTTGTATTAAGCTTTTCAATTTATGATTAGTAAATGTATTTCTCACATAACAATCATCTAATAGGCTGAAATTAATTAATACAAAATTTTAACAGATTTAAAACTTAATAAGCTTTTCTAATTAAAATTTAAAAAATGAAAACAGTTCTTGTAAAAAGTCATTATTTATCGAAAATTTGTTTTCTTAAGACAATAGTGTTTTTAATATATCTTATTTATAAAAGCAATTAAAATATTTTCTAATTAAATAATGCCATAGTTTTATTGTTTTAGTTCATTTTCCGATTTAAATCAGATTTTCGGTAAATGATGTTTCTGTTTGACAAAAGTAGATTGATGATTTAAATTCTCCAATAAGTCAGAAGTAGGAAATGCAACGCCTTTTGAACATCCGAAAAAAATTAATAGATTGTACAAAAGAATTATAAATCTTCGAAATAATAATGACAAGTTTATAAACATCTCCAACTATGAAGTAACAAACCATAAAAAACGTACTGGGTGAGACGATAAACTACGTCCGCGTCCTTGGTAAGACGATAAACTACATCCGCGTCCTGGGTATGACGATAAACTACATCCGCGTCCAGGGTAAGAAGATAAACTACATTAAATCTATAAGAATAAAATTTAATTAATAGAATCCAAATATTAATATGTCTTGCACATACTTAAATGATGCTTTTACAAAATATTTGTGTATAAAAATACATATACTGCCTAGGGAAATTAAAACCTAGTTCCCGCCCCCAATTACAATAGATTTTCCTTTTTATAAATTATTTCTATCATAAATACAAATAAAGTTAAAAATTTTTTAAAGTTTTGAAACACATGAACACCCAACATATCATTCAAATATATATATATATATATATATATATATATATATATATATATATATATATATATATGTATATATATATATATATATATATATATATATATATATATTATTCACATATATATATATTATTCATATATATATAGATTATTCACATATATATATATTCAAATATATATATTATTTATATATATTAGCGATATATATATTATTCATATATATATATATATATATATATATATATATATTATTATATATATTATTCATATATATATATATTCATATATATATATATATTATATATATATATATATATTCATATATATATATATATATATATATATATATATATATATATATATATATATATATATATATATATATATATTCTTAGGTATGTACGTTTTCAAACGTAGTAGTTTCCACCAGTTTGAATCGTTGAAGGTAGTATGTATATATGTGGATCAACAGTGAACTTTGTGTTCGTCGTAGTCTCTTGTGTAAAGTAAATGATGAAGGTGGTTGTATGTGTTTATGCGAAACTATGTGGCTTTCATTTTGATGTTACGATGACCGTAGCATGGGAGAATTGATAAAATTCATTCGTCGTTTCTTAATTGATTCGACTTTCCGTCTTCTTGTCTACAAAAAGATCAGTTTCAAAATTGCCGCTTGGTTTCTAATTGGTCCACACAGCCGTAAACTTCTATTCTGGTTGAGAACATAACTTGTCTCCGATTAGTTCACCAGTCTATGACGTTCGTATTCTTGTCGGAACTGTTTCTGATTAATTGATCAGACTATAATGTCATATCCTTGCTGGAAGCGTTTCTGATTGGTTCGTAGATACATTGACTTCGTGGCCTCACGATTCCAAATAGTCATCTAGTTTTGGAGACTGTGAAAATTTGGCCTCCTTTATTCGTTTTTATCTTTTTATTCTTCTATCACTATAAGTCTATATTTGTAAGATAATATGGCATATATATATGTTATATATCATAACAATGTTAGGAAAATTAAGGACAAAGTAGAAAAAAATCGTCAATTAAAATCAACTAGACTATATGACGCATTCGGCAGAGGAGGAGCCCTATTCAAAAAAATTCAAAAATTGTTTTTTTTTCACTGCAAATTATTCATTATATCATATGCAAGTATTTTACAAAAAAACTAGATCCAATGACACAATATTTCAAACTCAATTTAGGTTTATAGTTTGTAACCATGCAATCAGATGAAGTGACATAAACCGTAGATTTGTCTGTGGAATATCATTACATTATTGTTACATAATTATGGAGAAATCATTAAGGTTTTTTTTTTTTTTTGTCAAAATCATTTTAGTTTTGGTCGTATATTAATTTTAAATATTCTTTTTAGAGGCTTTATTTTTGAAATAGAATAAGATCATCCTAAA